AACCGGCCAACCTACTAAAATACTTATGTAACCTCTTTATTAAAAAGGTCGTGTCAACCTTTGTAATACCTGCCAACCCCCTAACCCGTATCTTCATTTCTTCTTAATTTTCTTAATTTTTCTAATTTTATTTATTTATCTTTCTCAATCTCATACATACATAGAGGCAAAAAATCACTATTTTTATATTAAATTATCAAAATTTAGTTTTTTTTTTTGATGACCTTGTGAATTTGAGATGTGGATCTTTGTTTTTTTTATTATTATTTGTCTTTAGTAATTTACTCGTATCTTTCTTCATCATAACCAATTCTCACATTATTGTGATAATGAAAAATTCTTTGAATAGTCATCTCTTTCTCTACTTCTATTTTTGTCTACATTTTTACCTCCCTAGTTACTATTTGCTATTGTTTTGCGGGTCAACTTGACACAACACTTTTATTAAATAGGTCAAGTTTAGGTGAGCAATCTTAATAGGTTTACTAACTTAACATGACACGACCCATCTCATTGCCAGCCCTAGAATTTGCTCACATGCCCCTTAAAAGCTCTCAAGGCTTTTGTTGTCCCCACATCTATGTCATGGCCATCGGGCCGCCAAAGGACTCAACTCCCCCTCTTTCCCGAACCCTGACCCATATGGTCTTGGGCTCGCCTCTTAGCCCTCTCTCGACGATATGGAAGGTCGGCCACTGCACTTTGATCCCTTTGAGTGAACGCTTGACAGTCAAACCCACCACTGGGACCTAGAGGCTTGTCATATGCCACTTAATCGGTCCAATCCACCATTTCAAATCTGCTCGGTTAGGAGGGGATGGGTTTCATACATGCCATCCTTTTCAGCATGGGCCGAGCCTCATCCCCTGCACGCAATTTGGTTAGATATGGAAAAAAAAAAAAAAAAAAAAAAAAAACAAGCGAAAACACCATTACGATACATATCTCTTAGTTGAAGACATAGTCAACAATCTGACTTTCTTGAGCCTCTTGGGTGTTAGCAACCTCTCGGCGAACCTCAGCTCAGCGGGCAGGAAAAGTACTAGGTCCATTGCCTTATTCTCGTCCTCGCTCAGCTCTATATTTCTCTCCTACTCAACAGCAAAGAGTGACCGTCAGTAGATCTCGATCTCTCTCTCTCTCTCTCTCTCTCTCTCTCTCTCTCTCTCTCTCTCTATAAGTATAAATATATGTAGATCTCTCTTCTCTTACTCCCACTCTGTCTCTGTTCTTTAAAATAAACCCCTTTCTCTCATGAAACTTTTGTCGAACACATAGAAGATGATTGTGGAAAAGCAGAGCCAGCTACAACATATTGTGGAACGCGAAGGAATTGAGCTTAGTCTCTTATCTACGAGCGTAAGCTTCTTCACGATATACGACCTGCGCTTCTTCACGATCTACGAGCATAAGTTCTTCAAATTCAATTTTTCCACAGAAACTCCAGAGATTCAATTTTCTTTTTTGGGTAATTTCCTCCATATTGAAATTAACCAGGAAATCGAATTTCTAATCTTCGTGCTGGAGTTTATAAATACCGTGTTATGCTGGCTGAAAAGCTTCTCAACAAATCTGACTATGGCATCGATACAGAGATACGCATTCTAGAAAAACCTCAAGGCAAGGGGTTTTTTTTTATATATTTAAGCTTGCGGTTTCTTTGTTCAGTTGGGTGTAATGGTTGTTCATGTAGTCTTCAAACTGTCTAACTTAATGTTCATAGTTTGTAATCATTCTTCAGATACATTTTGGAGAGAGCAGCATGCAGAAATGTGAAATTATGCTGAATGATCTTATTGATTCTAAGAGGACTAACGGCAATATTAAAGCAACCATAACTCAGACATCTCAAGCAGGTACCTTCCAAACTTTACGTCTTCCCTACAGATGATTGGTTTTTGGGCTATTCGCTCCAGCATTACCAGAAGACTAATTATTTTATTTTATTCCACTAACGTGGGGTGGATGTCTTAGGTTCTGAGCTGGGCGATAACGGGGTTTCCATGGATGTTTTAGATGCAACAATCATCTCTTCAAATTTCTGGCCCCAAATCCAGGTAATGAATTGTTGCCAGTGGTAATGTCATTTATTTCGAAATTTCTGTTAAAGGGAAAAGACGGATCGAGGATTTACATTCTCATAATTTGAAATATCTCCTTGGCACACTTCTCTGCAATCAGTGATACCATGCATATGAACATGATTATGTTTAAATGTAATCGCTTGCACTTTAGTTGTTTCTTCTGCATTTAGGAGCGGCTTTAATAGCTTAATGCTCCTTGAGGCCCCCATTAGTTATGATTTCTTGCAAGCATTTTAATTTAATCTAGTTCTTTTAAAATTTCCCGCCTATCCTATTGATTCACTTCTCTGCATGAGTATCTAGGCAACTTATATTTGACTCATTCTAAACCTTGTGCATAAACTGATGTCTTTTGTCCGTTATACTATATACATCTCATTAGCATTTGTTATTGTCGTTAGAACTACATTTTCTATTTGTAACAAAATTTCAGTAAACGTTGATTAACCTTTAAACCAAATTTCAGGACGAGTCCCCTAATATACCTGGACCTGTTGACCAACTACTATCTGATTATGCAAAGAGGTTTAATGAAATCAATACCCCTCGTAAACTACTATGGAAGAAAAGTCTTGGTACGGTCAAGGTAAGATATTCTTCTCCAATCTGAGTTTTGCTCACGTCCCGAATGAATTCAAGGACATATTCAAAGAAATTCTGACCGTCAGTAGGAATGGTTTGTGGATTACGAACAGCTATAATGGCTGAACCTAATAAAATAGCAATTACGACCCAAGAAGTAATAAGTACTTGTGATGCTTACACTATGTCATTTCACGCCTTTCTATTAGGAGAGTTTTGACTTGCTTCGATTTTCCATATTTCCTGAATCACTGAATTGACATTAACAATACTTATGATGGTTGGTGCTGTTTTAGTTGGAGTTGCAATTTGAAGATAGAGCAGTGCAATTCGTGGTTGCTCCTGTGCATGCAGCAATTATAATGCAATTTCAAAATCAGACAAGGTAGCAGCAGAAATATCTTAATGCATTTTATGTTGTTTACTATTTTCTTGCCATACTGATATCTTATACTTTCAGCTGACCTCTAACAATCTTGCAGCTGCAATTGGGATTCCAACAGACATACTTAATCGCAGGATAAATTTCTGGATAAGCAAGGTATGCTTGATAGACTAATACTTTCGTGTGTCAGATTTACTTGTTGTCTTTGAACACAAACCCTAGCCCCCGGTTTTGAGTCATCTGCCTTGGTGACAGAGTAAAGAGTATTAGAAACTCTGGATTTCTCAGCAGCAGTGGTTACTTTTACTGATTGCAGATTTTTTTTTCTTAGTTACCTTTAATCATTTTGAATTTCGAGTTGAATGATATGATGCGTCATTTATTGTAAAGTCAAACGTTCCCCACGAGCTAAATGTTTTTCAAATGGGTTCTTGTTATTTATTGAAGTTTTAAGCTTTGGAAGTCAAGAGGAAAACTCATATGTTTGCCTTGTTTTTCCTATTGAAGGGAATTCTTGCAGAATCATTTGGGGCAGACTCTGAAGACCTCGTGTTTACACTAATGGAAGGTATGGTTGACAGTGGTAAAAATGGTGGTACGAATGGAAGCATTGAGGATCTTATAGTTGCTGATGAAGAGGGGGAGAGCTCTGTAGCCTCTGTGGAGGATCAACTGCACAAGGAAATGACTGTGTATGAGGTATGTGATGTGTGCAAGATTGACCACATCTTGGTATACGTTTAAATCCATCCCAATGGGTTGAGTTGTTTGGGAAGGATCTACCAATTCATTTTCATACTGGATCTTCTTTTGCTTTCAGTATATTTCCATCTCTAGGTACTATGGCCTTAAGTTCTAGTTTTCCATCTCTGGATCTTCATTTTCATACTGGATATTCTTTATAAAGACCAAAAGGGGGGAACAAAATTGCTGCTCCACATTTTACCAACTTGTCAATAGCTGAAATAATCAAGTGAAGTAGAAATTTAACTCCCTTCTTTTCCCACTAAGGGGAGGGGAAAGGAAACACAGAATTGATAGCTTGCCAATTATAATAACCATTTAACTTTGTCCAGTCTTGAGTATCAATCTCAAATATGTCAACAGATAAAAATGCATGGTGCCATTGTGTTCTCAGCTTTTCAAATGGTATTTGGTTTTTTGCAGAAATTTATCTTGGGGATGCTCACAAACTTTGGAAGCATGGCATTAGATTGAATTCATAATACTCTCAAGGTAAGGATGATTTTAACACTCCCCGTGATATTTGGTTTCTGCCAAGTAACATGATATCTGGTAAGAAAGTTACTGTTTTAAATAGATTTCTTTACACATTCATTCCTGCAGATGTTCTGCATAGCCGATCCTCCTTACGACAAAAATCTCCAACAGCTGCAAAGTTTCTTGACGGGTCTAGTTTCCGAAGAGAAGTTGGAACTAAGAGATGGAATGTATTTTTTGAAAAAGTAGTCAACTAACAGAATTAGGACTCTACTAATTTTAGTAAAAATTATAAAGCTTGGCAAAATGTATTATCCTGGTGTAACTCTTCTTCTTTTCTTTCTGATTCGTTTGAGGGGAAAGGTGAGAGTTGAAGTACAACTCTTTATGCCTCTCTTCGTGTTGTACGAGAGTTCATGGAAACAAAGCCCATAGGTTTGATCCTGCAGAACTGAAAATTAAGAGAACAAATGTGAAGCCTGTGTCAGAGCATATTGGTGGCTGCTACCCAAATGACAAGCTTGATGTGAATAGGATTCTAAGCATCTTGTTCAGATTATCATGTGAGAAATTTCATGTGAATAGGGTCTAACTGAGTGGAAAAAGGCCTTGACTTGATGACTAGTGTTCTCAGGTTCAAACCAAATGACAACTTAGTAGTGTGTGTGTGAGAAATTCTCATTACCCTCGTAATTTAGACTATCGCTTGTATTAAAAAGAAAAAAAAAAAAAAAAGACCTATGTGTCACAAGCCATCCTTTAGTTTTCTTTCAATCATGAAATTTCTCACCTCTAGTATCAGTGATACCCAACCAATCCAAATAATGAATTAGCATTGTATATCCTTTGGCCACCCCAAAAATGTCTTTAGCGTCAACCGGCCCCACAGTCATTTATAGCAAATATGTTGCTTGTAGTTTCTTCCAACCTCACTTATTTATGGTCTGAACTTTGGCAATCCGTATCTAGTTGGATAAGCTTTAGCTCTACCATCCTGCAGACACAAACGAAAATGGTAGCCACCGGCACAAACGAGGTTCCAAGCATAGCAAATTATGACAGAAAAAGTGAAGTAAAAACTTTTGATGACACAAAGGAAGGTGTTAAAGGCCTTGTTGATGCTGGGATAACCAAGGTTCCAAGAATTTTTCATCTACCAGTAGATCAGTATCCCATCAACAACACTTGTGATTCAGAACCCACCAAAACCCAGCTCAGAATTCCAGTCATAGACCTGGAAGGCCTTGAATATGATAACAGTCCAACCAAGCGCAAGGAGACTGTTGCCAAAGTTGGAGAGGCATCAGAGACTTGGGGCTTTTTCCAAATTGCCAATCATGGCATACCTGTTGATGTTTTGGAAGAGATAAAGAATGGGGTACGTGGTTTTTTTGAGCAAGACACTGAGGTGAAGAAGAAGTATTACACTCGTGATCGCTTCAGACCTGTGATCTACAACAGCAACTTTGATCTTTATAGTGCACCGGCAACTAATTGGCGGGACACTTTTTTGTGTAATATGGCTCCTAATCCTCCTAAGCCAGAAGACTTGCCACAAGTATGCAGGTATGTGACAAGGAAGCTTATAATTTTCTGGTTTAATATGACATTAGGCTCCATTTCCATGGAGGGATTTCAAATCTATGATTTTAAATGACATTATATGGTAAAATTGTTTGTATAGACTACTACAATCCATATATGCCAAGATTTGAACAGGAAAGAAAGGAAGAAAATAAGTGAATTTCATATGATTCCTTCCATATAGTCATTTCAAATGTCTAGTTATTTAGAATACATTCAATCTAATGTGGTTCTTGTTTTTTTAAGCAAATTTAGCTTTGTTAAATCTAAATCCCTTCTTTCAAATCCCTCCTTCCAAAAGGAGCCTTAGTTTTTCTGGGTTTCAATTTTGTAGAGACATACTTGTTGAGTACTCCAAGCAAGTAATGAAGTTGGGGAAGTTGTTGTTCGAGTTGCTGTCTGAGGCGCTTGGGCTGAAGCCAAGTCACTTGAATGACATGGATTGTAGTTTAGGGCTTCGGATTCTAGGCCATTACTATCCCCCCTGTCCACAGCCAGAGTTAACTTTGGGATCAAGCAAGCACGCTGACAATGACTTTATCACAGTCCTTCTGCAAGATCATATTGGTGGTCTTCAAGTTCTTCATCAGAACAAGTGGATTGATGTACTTCCTGTGCCTGGGGCTCTAGTGGTTAACATTGGAGATCTTCTACAGGCAAGTATAACTATAATTCTTATTCCTCTTTTATACTTTGTAGGAGATACAGTTGGGTTCTTTTTTAATTAAAAAGGTACTATTACATTATGATTGCAGACATGTATTAGGTTGTCCAGAATGTGAGGAAAACTTTCATAGTAGCATGGCCTCATTTTAGTTTTCGCATAGGGCTTCTGACTGTCCCGCTGTTGTAGTATAATCATTAGAATATGGCTCAAATTCTTCAATTTCATTTCCTAGTTTGGGTTTTCTGATATTGAATTCTTTTGGACTTTCAGCTTATATCAAATGACAGATTCAGGAGTGTAGAACACAGGGTATTGGCAAATCGTGCCTGTCCAAGAGTATCTGTTGCGAGTTTCTTTAGCACAGGTTTTTTAGCATTGCCACGAATCTATGGACCCATTAAGGAGTTGCTATCAGAAGACAATCTTCCAAAGTACAGGGAGACAACTGAGAAGGACTTTAATTCTCACTTCCATAACAAAGGCCTTGATGGGACCTCTGCCTTGACTCATTTCAAGCTCTGAACTTGGAGGCATAGGAGCAACTGCAATGAACAAATGGTGTCTACTTAATAACTTGGCATGAAAATATTGCTTCATACACAATACTAAGTTGATTTTTTGTTCATGCCTGATGCAGGACATATAGTCAAAGTTATGGTTATAGTACATTGGTTGTTTATAATCTGTTGTGAAATATTATGGCTTTCAATAGAAGTTGCAAAGGTTTTTAGCTCTTTTTACAAACTTCCATATAATCTCTCTATTGTGGTTGGATAAAAATCTTCATGTACTGGTAAAATCATGCTTGCCAACAAAAGCAGAATTCTGAGCATTATTTGTCTATACCTGTTTATAATATACGAATATGAGTGCTTTACTACTATGGAAACTTGAAGTATTGAAGTTATTAGGATCAAACAGAGACCTGTTATTACAATTTTATAAACAACATCATATTTCCGTATACGAAAGTTGAATTGTATGATATTATCTGTCTGTACTCTGAATTGTTAACCCAAAATGAATATATTAATGTTTAAAACACAACTCTGCTAATATATTATAAAGTACTTTTGCATTATCCTTGGCCTATGGTCTTTGCAAAAATATTGTTTTCTTCCCATTTTACTCATTGCAAAGTGATCTTCTTTGCTAAAAGATACACTTCTGATCTGATATCCACTAGAACATTAAGATTTAGCAGTAACCAAGATGGTAGGTACCAATTCAAATGAGGTTCCAACCAATTATGACAGAAAAAGTGAACTAAAAGCTTTTGATGACACCAAGGAAGGTGTTAAAGGCCTTGTTGATGCTGGGATCACTGTGGTTCCTAGAATTTATCTTCAACCACCAGATCAGTACTCCATCAACAACAACTTTGATTCAGAAGCCACCCAGTTTAGCGTTCCAGTCATAGACCTTGAAGGCCTTGAGTTCGATAGACCAACGAAACGCAAGGAGATTGTTACAAAAGTTGGAGAGGCATCAGAGACTTGGGGATTTTTTCAAATTGTGAATCACGGAATACCTATTGATGTTTTGGAGGAGATAAAGGATGGGGTACGTGGGTTTTATGAGCAAGATACTCAAGTGAAGAAACAGTTGTACAACTCGTGATCACTTCAAACCTGTGGTCTACAATAGCAACTTTGATATACACAGAGCACCAGCGTCTAATTGGAGGGGTACTTTTATGCGCTACATGGCTCCTAATCCTACTAAGCCAGAAGACATGCCAGAAGTATTCAGGTATGTGACAAGGAAACTTTTAATTCTCTGCTATCATTAGAAAGTTTATGATGGTATTAATTAATTTGATTCAGATTCCAACCTTCTTGATGAGTTAATTAGATGATATGATTTGTCCACCTTAATGATAAGTTTGATGTACATTGATCTCACTTCGGATACGAATCACCCATCTGGGTTTTATATATATGGGTAGACAGCATCACCAAACAAATGGTATTTTTGTGCTGAGTGGCAAGCACCTAGCTAGCCCATGACAAGTGGTATTAGACCAGGCCAAGTTCCTTCTGTTATGGCCTGTGACGAAGCTGTATCGTGTCC